ATTATTATTATTATTATTATTATTATTATTATTATTATTATTATTATTATTATTATTATTATTATTATTATTATTATTATTGTTATTATTATTATTATTATTATTATTATTATTATTATTATTATTATTATTATTATTATTATTATTATTATTATTATTATTATTATTATTATTATTGTTGTTGTTATTATTCGCTTTAAACTAGGGTAGATTTCTGAAAAAAAGAACTCATAAAGTTAGATGGGCTCTTATGGCAATCAAAAAGAAATGACATCAGTTTAGATGCCCAAAAACTGACAAATTGTAAAATGTATGAAATGTGGCTGAGCATAGGCTTTTTAATATACAAAAATTGTTTATTGTAAGTTGATTTGTAAATTTAATGAATGCATGCAATTAGGATGATGATAATAATTCTGATAATGATGATATCCGAGATAAGAGTTACACCTGTATCTATCTTTATTACCTGCTATTAAAAGTGGTACTTTTGGTTGGATTTGTTAACCTGTGTTTAGAATTGATATCATCAGAAGTTTAATCTTCCTTTTCTCTTTATCTTTCTTTTTCTATTTACTTTATTCTTTTAGTTGGATAATAATTGAAATATTAGGAATCGATGGAAAATGGAAGAAATAGAAATCTTTTATCTTTTATCATTATTGCAGCTACCATAATCTCTTTTGATCTTCCCGACTCCAACCTATTATACTGAAAATACTAAGGTATAATAGGTTGGAGTCGGGAAAAAGCTATTTGGAATATTTTATCAAATTATATTTCTAATAATTGCATAATGTTCAAGTCTTATTTGTATAATTAATATCCAGTCAGTCATAATTATCCCAGCTATAACTAATTAATTAATTAATTCTAACAAATTTAAATTAATGTTATCAGTTAAGTACATACTTTGTCATGCATTTATGACAGAAGTAATTTAAAAGTTTCAATTTACATGAACAAGTAGTTGTATGAATAAGCAACAATCTTCTCGTACAAAAGTTTTAAATTTTTTTATTCATTTTACTTGCTATTTGTTTGAATTTCAGGTCATGCGTATTAGTTGAAAATAAGTCAGCATATTGTTCGAATTTCAGATTATCAAATATCTGAATTGATCTGAGCTCAAATCAACGACTGGCTTATTTTTCTTATTTCATCCGGAAATTTCCGCTTCATATTATCTGAATGAATCCTAACGGTATGCTTGCAACAATGAATGGTGCAGCTCATAGCGGAAGTGGAACCGGACCAAATGGTACCGTTAGCGCAAATGGTACTGGAGCTGGAATAGGTAGTGGAACAGCTACAACAAAAATTGCTGGACGACAGCATTGCTTCTTATGTGACCTACCTCGTTGGCCATGGGCTATGTGCAATGATTACATGGAACCTGTTTGTCGTGGTTGTGTTAACTATGAAGGAGCTGATCGGTTCGCTTTTGATTGTTTCAAACGAAAATGAAGGCAATAATCTATCACGATATAATCTTATCAATAAATTCTCAATTATCTCATTATCATTTAATCATATCATTGTTAGTTTAAATGTAAGCATATATAATTCGAAAATAATGAAAAATCTGAAAATTAAATCATTCCAAATTGATTTCTATATATCCTACTGTATTTTATCATCATTCAAAACACAAAATAGCACTGCCTACTTTCAGCAATAATTGTAAATTTTTATGAGATTATCAAAAATTCAAAATCATTCCAATGAAATTCATTATTAGCTCTTTTATTGTTGACAACTGATTTAATAAAGATGGTAGAAGGAAAAAAGAAAAAAAAAACTCATCAAAAATTTGATGGCAGTCTTAGCTAAATTTGCTGCATAATAAATATTTCTAATTATTTATGCAAAAAAATTTTTCGTTTGCTGCTTTTTTTTCTCTTTGCGAATAAATTTTCTATCAGAAATTTCAGCGCAAATGTTACAGGATAGAAAATGTAATTGAAAATGCACGTCAATTGAAACGTGTTCATGGATTTCCGGTAGGTGAAACTTCAACAACTATTGCTAGCAGAAATTTATCACAGGTAAATTTCCTTCCTTTTTTCTTTTTCTCAATTTAATTTCTAATTTAATTTTTACTTAATTTTTTTCTCTCGGTTTAGTTTTAATTTTTGTTCGTTTTTTTTAATTTTTCTTCAAAATTTCATAAATTTTTTTTTGTTTCCAAACAAAACTTTAAACATAAATTGTTGCAATGATAAAAGAATTGAATGATTAAAATAATATATTTGATTGGTTATTTTTAGAAAGAATGTTTAATGCAAGCTGGTGCTGGTCGATTTTCTCCAGCTGTAAACCGTGGTGTTAATCCTGCTACAGTACCACCGCCAACACCGGTTGTACAACATCAACAGCAACAGCAGCAAGCAGTTGCCGCAGCAGCAGTTGCCGCTGCGGCACAAGCTCAAATGCCACAACTACCGCTAAATCAATTAACCGAGGTTAGCATCAGTTATTATCAGTGCTTTTTTCGAATTGCTTTATGGAAAGCACCAAGATATGATCCAGAATGATCCAATGATTCTTGCGCTATGTCTAGGATAAATTTCCATAAAATTTTCACATTTGGTTCAAAATCACTTTTCTAGGCACTGGTACAACAACAACGGTTCATTTCGTTGGCTGGTAGGCAACCTGGCCAATTTACAGCTGAAGATTTGCATGCGTTGCAGCAGTTGCAACGACCAATTCACCTTCAAAATTCTCTTATGCAACATGGCCTTCCAATGAGTGAGTTATATAAACTCCTCTTTTAAAGAAAAAGAAAGAATAAAAGAAACATTCCAATTAATAATTCTAATTAAGTTTTTGATTTCAAAATTTTGATCAAAACTAAATGGCTAAAAACAAATTTTAAATTGTTTCCCTTTACCAATATTATCATTATCAGTGTTATCATTAAATTAATTTTGATAATTTTAGGTGTATTTCCAAATTTGGTAACAAATAGCGTAGCAAGTTTGCTACCACCAAATGCAACACTTGCAGCAGCTGTTGCAGCATCTCGGAAACGTGATCATGATTCATCGGATGATATCAAACCTGATGTTTACGGAAAAGTGCAACGTGGTAGGTTTATTACTTCAGCTTATTTTATTACTCAATAATCATTTCACTTTTTACATTTCATTTCGAAGTTTTATTTATTCAAAATTTATTTCTTTAAAATTTATTTTCATTTTATTTGAAAGCAAATCATAGATTTGAAATCTCATTAATTTATATAAAAATTAAACAATCACATACATATCACTATCACTATCACTATTACTATCACGATCACTATCACTATCACTATCATTATCACTATCATTATCGTTATCATATTTTACGGGAAGTCGGGAAGAGATGCAAGGGAGGGAATAGAAATGAATAGAATAGTTGATGAATAAATAATGTTGTTTGTATTTTCCACTTGCAACAAATAATTACATAATATGATGGATCGATCATCAATTTGCATTGAACATAAATTTGAAGAGTGCATTTGAGAAAAGGAGGAAGAGGATGAGGAAGAAGAGGAAGAGGAGAAGAAGGAAGAGGAGGATGATAATTGGTGTTGTAATGTCATCTGTTCGATCATCACCCTGATCTGTTCCATTTTACCTTTGTGACCTTTGTGGATCATTGCATTTATTATGCATGATCAATTATCAGAAATATATTATTTAAACTTTTTCAAGCCAAACATGACGGTTAATATTGCCGATATTCATCGGTATTGCTGCTATATGCTGCTACAGTTGGTGTCACTATTGTGACAGGTGGTAATATTATTGGTGATAGGTTTGTGGTGCATTAACCCCAATATAATTTACACAAACACATACACGTATACACACAGACATTCAAGATCAGAGATGACCTGATGTTGATTTCGGAAACCGGTTCTTGATATCTTTTCGCACCTCTCATCTTTCCATTTTCTTTTCACTTCTATCATATTCATACCAGAATGGTTCAATGAATTCATTCATCTTTTCTGTAACACATTAATGATAACCTGTTACTATTTGCAAAATTTCAACAGTTTTGAATTTTTACAAATGGAAATTAGTATGGTATTGAAAGAGAGAGAGAGAGAGAGAGAGTGAGATGTTAAGAAATATTGTACAGTTGGAGGAAAAAAAATTAACCGGTGTTTTGTTTGTATTTTACCTCAATATTTTCTTTCTTTTTCTCCCCCTCTCTCTCTCTCCTCATCTTTTCATCTTTCTTTAATAAGAGAGAGGTACTGGTTGTTGAAAAGTTTGTTAACTCTTCAATCCACAACAAATATCATCGAAGAAGAAAGGAAGAAAGGGAGAAATGAAAGACAGGAAGGAAGGACAGGAAGAGGAAAGGATTTATATGTTGTGTATTTAGAATAATAGAATAGAGGAAAAAAGAAGGATTGTATATGGAAAGTATTTCATTTTATCGTACGGTTGACAGACGGATGGATGGACGGGTGGACGGATGGAAGGAACCGGTTTTTGGTGCCATGTGATCTGCTGGTACAATCCGGTGGTTGTAATATTTGCTACGGAACACCAAATATTTGATTAGAGAGGTTGCGAACAGTAGCGAAAATTCAATATCTCATTATTATTGCTCTCGAATAGCATAAAATAACCTCATAAGCCTCATCGAGAAGGTATGACAGAGAGAGAAAGGGACAAAGAGAGAGGGAGAGGGGGAAACAAGGAGGGAAAAGAGAAAGAGAAAGGGAGAAAGATGGAAAATAGGAGACAAAGGATAAGGGATTTGAGGAAAAATCTTTAAAATTATACAGAAATAATTAGAAAAACAAACAGAATTTCAAATTTTGCTAATTTCAAAAATCCAAAAAGTTTTTCAATTCCTTTGAAATGAAATCTTTTTTCCTTTTTTTTATGGACATTTTCTTCGCTCATTGAAAAAAATACAAATGTTTATCTTATGTATGTGTGTGTGTGTGTGTGTCTGTGTGTGTGTGCGTGTGTCTGTGTGTGTGTGTGTATATATATATATGTATGTGTGTGTCTTTTTTTTCTTGCATTCAGTTGTTGCGCAATACTTTACTAATTAATAACTTCGCTCTTTTTTCTTTCCTTTTTTTTGTTAAAAAAAATTACTCGTTGAAAAAAAAGTACGAAAATTTCATTACAAATTTACTAATTATACATTTAACTAATTATTGATTAACTATATATTTAGCTAAAATATATTTGACTAATTAATAATTATTGGAATTTTCATTAAATTTTTATGAATATTTTCATATGAAATATATTGAAAACACAAAATGTGACAATCAAATGAACAGTTAAATAATGTCGTAACTGTTTGTACCATTCACCTCTCCACTCTTCTATCTTTAAACCAGTTCTCCCACTTCTTTTTCACCTGAGGTCACATGATTTCATCTCTTCTTTTTGTATTCATGTAAATCTTTTTTTTTCTTTTAAATTAGAATTAGAAATGAATAGAAAACGTGTTATGCGTGTGTGTGTGTGTATATATATATATATATATATATATATATATATATTATTATATATAGTAA